CGAGACGAGACGAGACGAGGCGACATCTGCTCCAAAATCGATATCATCGCGCATCGGCACACCACCAGCAGATTCTTATCAGCTGCTGAAAGATCGCGAGTGAATGCTCGGCACTCGAATCACGTTTTTGGCAATGACAGTTACAGGCCACGTGGTACGGGGATCGAATTTTACGTCCCTGAAAGCCCACTCGCGCCAGCAAGCAGCAGGTTTCCAGCTGCTCTTCTCCACATCCACGAGCAAACGTCGTTGTGTGCCGTTGTCGGCGCTTCGCTCTCACTCGAGAGGGCATGGTCGGGATTTTCATGGCCGTCCGCGAGTTTTTCAGTGTTCTATCGCCGCCGTTTCATGAGTCATGCGAGCCTAATCCCCGTCGCCGGCGACGATTCCCGAGTCCGCCGTTGCCTCGCGATCGCCGATCGGTTTGCTCCAATTTTCGCTTCTCTGAAAATCCATACACATTGGCACAGGGCAGGGACGTGCCGAGGGAGACAGCGCGCGCGAGAATCAGCCGAGCAACAAGAATCGAAGAGACAGCGGATAGCTCGTAAGCGAGAGAAAGAAAGTCTCTAACCTGGTGGGAAGAACAGAAGCAGAAAAATAAAGAGAAAGAGGGGAAGAGATAGCAGTCATGCGCGAGAAAGAGAGAGGCGGAAACGTCAGTAGATAAACAAGGAAGGAAACGAAGAAAGAGAGAAAGGAAGAGGTAGATGAAGACAGAATGATATATAAAGAGGCAAAGAGGAAGGAAGATAGGACGAGGGAAAAGGCGGAAAGAGACAGGCAAGCGAAAGAGGGGGATTGCCACGCCGTTTCGGTCGTCGCGACCGGCGCGCCTCTTCGTTCCACGATCGATTTTCCACGATTTTTCACTCCTCAGTGTACGATGCCTCCTCGAGGAGAGTATCAGGGTACATGGCGAACGCGACGCGACAAAGTCGCCTCTTGTCTCGGCGTGAAGCAGACGTGATAAGCGAGAACACACCGACGAAGGAAACGCGTTACAAACACGGCGCTACATACATGTTCGTATACACGTGCGCATACGTATATATACACGTCATATATATTTCGCCAACACACACGCAGATTTCTGCTCACATACAGCTGTATAACGCTGTTCTCCACATCCCCCTCTCTCGTTCCTTCTCCTTCCCTTTTGCCGCCTTTCTTCCTCTCACGCACATTTCCCAGCGCACGTGTATGCCGCGGCCGGCTTGTTAGAGAAGCCGTCCTGTGTGTGCGTGTGTGTCTGTGAGTGAACGCGCGCGCTCGTACTTCTCCCCCTCGCTCCAACCCCTTTGTACGTACACGCTTCGACACACACAGTGCGCCACACAGTGTGTACTCGAACCTGTGTGTATTCGTGAACGTGAGTTTCTCTCCCTCTCTCTCTCCATACTCGTCTATCTGTTTTCTTCTCGATTGGA